CCTGGCTGGCATTCATTAATGTGCATCTTTTTTGTTTTTGTTTTTCGAGACAGGGTTTCTCTGTGGCTTTGGAGGCTGCCCTGGAACTCGCTCTTGTAGACCAGGCTGGTCTTGAACTCACAGAGATCCACCTGCCTCTGCCTCCTGAGTGCTGGGGTTAAAGGCCTGTGCCACCACCACCTGGTTTAATGTGCATCTTGAAGAAAAGGTTCTCTGAGACTCTCAGTGGGACAGCTAACCAGTAATATCAAGACCATGATTAATGGATTCCCTGACAAAGATGCTTCCCATAGAGTCCAGCACAGAGTAATGCTGGAAAACGTAGCTTGGGACTTATCTCTGTATTCTTTTGTTTTGTTTTTCTGAGACAAGGTTTCTCTGTGTAGCTTTGTAGACCATGCTGGCCTCGAACTCACAGAGATCTGCCTACCTCTGCCTCTGCTGGGATTAAAGGCGTGGGCCAACACCCCCTGCCTGGGACACATCTCTGTAAGGCTATAGTGTCCAGACATGATGGTGTTTAGCAGATGGCTCACATCGGGCTGCTCAAGACAACTTGATCAACGAAGATACTAGGGTGAAGGTGGAGCCCTGGGTGACTTACACCGTCTGGACGTCGGTAGCCAGTCCGGCCAGGCCTATGTAGAGTCTGTCACCCATGGGAAAGATCTTCTGGAAGTCCGTGGTCACCATCTGGGCCTGGATCCCGAAACGCCTGTCGGCAGCGATGGCCACACAATTTTTTCCCTTCATGGCCATGACGGCCCCTCCGTTATAGGACATAATAGACTGGAGACAGACAAATCAAGGGGCTCAGTTGGTGGAGCTAAGTGCTGCCATAACCTTCGCCCCGGTCTCCCGAGGCGCCTGGACGCCGGGACGCCCGGAGCTCCAATCCTAAAATGGGCCCGGTGGGCACCCAGGAACCGCACTCATCCGCACGGCCCTGCCACGCTCCTCCTGCGGCCACCAGGCCCTCTCCGTCCCGTCCATGCTTTCAATTTCCAACCCAGACCTCACTCCCCACTCTCACCATGATTGCGCTCTGCTGGGACTCCGACCGCCACTGCGATTCCTGCAAACCGGCTCTGGCTTTCTCGGGGCCAACGCGCTCGCCGAGTCTCCCTACTGGCTGGTGGGCCGTCTCTGCCTGACCAGTTCAGCTTTCTATTGGATAATCGTCCCGTCAGTCACAAACTTGCATAGTTTGGTTGAGAACCAAAACCGAGGTATGGAAAGCGGAAAGTGAAAAGTCACTGTGAGTGCGGAAGAGCCTGCGGCCCGGGGCATGTTGGGATCTTGGCGGACCTGGACTCCCGCGCCCCGCCCCCGGGGGGGCGGAGCTGGCACCACGTGGGCCGGGGACGCGGCCTGGTAGGATTCGGCTGTATTGGGCGGCTTACTGGGGCGCTGTAGGAGTTGGGCATTTTACGGGGGGGGTAGGCCAGAGGGGGAATTTTTTTTTTTTTTTTTTTTTTTTTTTTTTTTTTTTTTTTTTTTTTGCGGGGGGTACAGATTGTTCACCTTTTGGAGTCCCTGGTCCCCGTCCCTGCAGGTCAGCTGACATAGCCCTTAGTCTCTCTTCACTCTACAAAGGAATGTTCTGTGTCCTTCCACATCTAAGTCACTAACCGAGGATAACCCGGGCCAACCGCTCCGGGGCAACCCAGGTGGGACGTGCGTGTCCCTCGCCTTTCCTTCCCGAGCTAGCTCACCCTGGTTCTTCGGGATCGGATTTCTTTCGCTGGAAAAGCTTCTGCGACTGCCTGCGTAATCGCTGCTCTTGCGCCATATCGCGGTCGCTTCTATTGACTCGGCTCTCTGTCTCGCAAACAACTGTCACCGTCTCTGTGGCGCAATCGGTTAGCGCGTTCGGCTGTTAACCGAAAGGTTGGTGGTTCGAGCCCACCCAGGGACGGTCTGAGGCTATTTTTTCTTTTAAATCACCAAAGCCAAATTCTGTACCGAGAGTCATTTATATTTAGAAATTCATTGACAGGATTTCTCCCTAAAGTCTCGCTACTTCCACTGGTCACTCTTGCCCTCCATCTGGACTACAGGAAAGCCAAAGACAGGTTTCTGTCTCGCTGCCATGTTTCACAATGCATTTTTCCTAGCATTAAAAATGAATGTGCTGTGGACGCTGGACAGCCTTCCATTGTCTGTGTCAGTGGACGATATAAACTTGAAATAGGACATCTGTTCCGGAGGACAGAGGCAGGAAAGAAACCTCGGGGACAAAGTGAGGGGAAGAACCTGGCTGTGATCGGCAGAGAAAGGCATACAACAGGGGGATCAGAGCAGAGGAAAGGAGGCGGATGAGGAAATAGATGGACAAAGGGTATTGTTTGCAGGAGGGAGAAGTATAAAGGACACAGAGGTAAAGCTGCACTTAAAAGCAATGGTCGTTGTCTCCATATTAAAAGGGATCACATCTTTGCATAACAATAGTATGCACTGGAGACTGTCCTTGCCTCGATGTCCCTCCCAGGTTCCTGCCCTTTGGGAACCTCTGATTTATGACCCTCCCTATGAGTAGCTACCAGCTAGAGGACAGGGTAGAATACACACAGACAAAGTGAAGGGAAGCAAGGTTCTTCAAAGTTTGCAGAGGTGCATTGGCTGAGGTGGGCAGGACGCCTCTACCTTCCTTAAAGAGAACGTGCAAGGGACTCTTTCAATCCGTTCTCTAGATATTTGGCTCAAAGGAAGTCTCTTCTGGACTTCCTCTCCCACGTTTGCACACCCATATGAACAAGCCTAAAAGACCACCTGGCACTTCAAAAGATGGATAGAGACGGGTCTTTTCAGGCTTCCCCTCACTGGTCCTGCCCTAAGTCAAAGCCCAGCGTACCTGCTCTGCCTAAAGCAATGCTTGACTTTGGCATATGTCAGGTGCTTCTAAGGTTAATAGAATAAAGACCACAAGACCAGAGAACTTCAGATGTGGGAAGGGTTGAGTCAGGGGTTCTTCTGATAAACCAGGGAAGCTAAAAATGTCCCAATATAGATGATTTATTGGAGTTTTAGTGGGGTCTTCGGCACGCTCCTACTCTCCAGCAGTTTACTCCGGACTGGAACTTAATAGCTGTTTGGGGAGTAAATGGATACCCATTTAATAAGCAAGGTAGCCAGGGGCAGCCAGACCTTCCTGGGTGCTGGTGTTTGATGGAATCGAGATTTCCGAAGCCCCTTCAGTTTTCTCTTGTTCGGGGACTTCCAGTGGAAAGGAAAAGGCAGAGACGAGGGTCCCTGTTGCGGTACCCTTCGTGTTGAGCGCCTGTGTTCGCTGTAACAGAGTTCCAGATGCCGGGACACATTGGCCCTGATGACAGTGGGCGTGTCTAACCCGAGCCCCCTTTCCACAGTAACCTGTGAGCTCGGGGTGCCCGATGTAGGGTCTGGGAAGCAGGTGACCGATTTTCCCGGGGCCTCTCCCGCTCCGTCTAGGCAGAAATTTCTCCTCCCTTCCTCTCCACCATCGGCCAGCGCGGGCTGAGGGCTGAAACTGGTGGGGTCACTGGACGGCCAGCGTTCACAGGGCTCCTGGTGCTTAAGTCGGCCAGTGTGGAAAAGCACTCAGGCCCCCAACTTCGGGGCTGCTTTGGGCTTGGGGACAAGGAGAGGAGGTGGGCGCTCCGAAGCTGCAAGAATATTCGTTCCCTATTGGAGCCAACCCACCGTGCCGGAACTTAAAGGCCAGAGAATCCTGATTGCTCTTTGAAGGGAAAGTCAGAGTGCCCACCCCCAATAAATCAGATGTAACGAATAAGCGAAATCAAGAGAACTAATGAGGCCCACGGTTCTCGTGGTAACGCAGAATCGATTCGTTTCCTCGGCGCCGTCTCCTCCAGCTCTCCTTCCTCCCCTGTCTGGGGCCGGGGCCGCAGGGGACCCGAGAGCAAGCGCTGGGTGGAGCCGGGGGTGACCGTAGGAGTCGGCTCGCACCGTCCGCCTTCGCGCTCGCCCGCTCCTCCGCGGTGGCGAGGGAGGCGCACCGGCGGCGAAAAGGCGCCCGTCCTCTCTCGGCTCGCCGCTTCCTACTGCACCCGGGCCTCTCGAATTCGGCTAGTTATTGTGTCTCTGGCTCAGCGCCTGAGTTCGTGTCTCGGGCTGCTCTCCCCGCCCCGAATTGCGTTCCATTCTTCTCCGCCCGAGCACGCCGAGCGCGCCAGCCTCGACCACAGCCAAGCCCCGCGGCCACCGTGCACTCCCTGCGAGGTGCGGCGTCCCCGAATCGGCGGGGAGGGGGGGGTGCACGCTCCGGGTCACACACGCACTTGGGATTCTCAAGGGAATGTCAGCTGGAGTGAGTAAACCTCGTTCGGACGCGTGGCCCGCGGCGCCGTGTCCCCCGCCCAAGCGCCCTTTGGTGGCGGCGAGGCATCGGGTGCTGCGAGACACATTTCCGCCCAGTCTGCATCTCACCATTTTCCAAGCTCCCCAGCTAGAGTAGGAATCGCAGGGTTGGTGGGAGAGGGGGGGGACACACTTATTTTAGGAGGAGGAGGAGGTATCATGACTGGAGGTAACACAACCGATTTTCCCTCCGGGTTCAAGGGATCTGCTTGGCAAAGAGGGGTCCTCGGGTTTGGGGGAAGCCCGGGGCACGGCGGTGGAGAGCAGCTGAGCTAGGCTCTCCCCCTCCTCTTTCCCTCTCTGCAAACATCCTGAAGGAATGAGGTCACGTGGGTGAGTAGTGGGCGGGGCCTACTCTTGTCTGGAGGAAAAAAGCCATTTTGTC